CAAAAAAAAAAAAAACCCCATTATATATCACCCATCTTCACCCCGCCTAAGCAGCATCCTCAGGCAGCACCTCCAAAACCCGCTCCACCATCTCAATCAGCTCATCAATGTCCGGCCTCTCACTCGGCTCAACCCTCAAACACCTCCTCACCACCTCCCGTATCGGCTCACTAATCCCCTCCTCTTCTGTCGCAGCCGCCGCCGTTGCGCCCCCAGGAGAAACCGGCCCCTTCCCCTTATTCTTCTTCGCCCCCGGCCCCTCATCCGGAAACCTCCAATCCCCACTCAGCACACAAATACTCAGCGACCCCCCCGTCTCATCCGACCTCATCTCAAACGGCGATTTCCCCACCAAACACGCATACAGCGTGCACCCCATGCTCCAAATATCAACCTTTGTGTCAACCACCGTCCCCGTCTTGACATCAAACAGTTCCGGAGCCCGGTAAGGCATGGTGCTATGCTCCGCAGCAGTATCCTGCGTTGCAATAGCCAACGAGCGGGAGGTGATTGGGAGAGGGGATTCAGCCACCGAACCGAGGTCCATGAGGATCGGTTCATCCCCCGAGTCGGAGATCATGATGTTTCCTGTTGTTTTCCGTCAGTTTTCCATGTTTGTTCGAAAGAACACAGATCCAGGGACACCAACCGGGCTTGATATCCCTATGAGCATAACTCCTCCTCTTCCCCCCCGTCTCCCTGGCCTGCGTGACCCTCTCATCCTCCGTCAGCAAACTCCTCCCCTGCTCCTGCTCATCGTCCACATCCGCCCCCCCGTTCACCGTATTCTTGCCCCCTAGTTTCCTCCCCGGCACAACCATCTCTTCTTGCCCCCCTGCCCCGCCACCGCCCTGGTAAACATGCATCCCCCTCAGCGCCCTACAGACCCCCAAAAACAACCCCATCAGCTTCCGTTCAGGAAACTTGGAATGATTCACCAAATTAGCATTAATCATGTCCTGCAGATTCCCCCGCTTGTAATACGGCAGCAAGACATAAACCGTCTTGCTCTCCTCCCCGCCGCCGCGCTCGGTGGCGATGGAGTAATCGACGCTGTGGATGATGCCGGGGGTTGAGCCGAATATCTTGTAGGCCTCGACCTCCTTCATGGCTTGGGCGACGGATTCGGCGCCGAAGGGGCAGCGGATTTTCTTGAGGGCGTAGAGCTCGTGGTTGGGGGAGGAGAGGGACTGGACCAGGTAGACGTAGGAGAAGCCGCCTTCGCCGAGGAGGCGGAGGATCTTGAGGGAGCGGGAGTTGATCTTGAGAGTGGGGGTTCCCGGGAGGCAGGGGAGGCAAGAGGTGAGGAGGGGGTGGAGGAGGTCGAGGAGTATTTGGGACATGGTGGGCGGTTTGGGGCGCGCTCAATCGTGGTGTTTTGTTATTGCTGTTGTCGTTCGTTGCCGGGCGCGCAATCGCATGTAATGATTAGGAGCCGACTCAACCGAGGGACGGGCTTCGTGTTTGGGCTGGTCTTCCGGGTATGGCTTGCTCTGTGCTGTGAGCAAATCAATGTGATGAACCGAGGATCCTGTCCTTTAGAAAAGTCGGTTTGCGCAAAAAAGTGTCAGCTTGAGATAGATGTTGTAGGAGGATTAGGTTGCGTCCTGCCATCTGGTTGCTGCTGCTGCTGCTGCTGCGCAATGCATGCTGCCAGCCGCTCGCTAATTCGCCCAAGCCGCAGCCGCCCAAGGGTCGGGGTCTTGGGTGGGGCCATACCTTGCACCAAGCAGCCTTACCTAACCTCAGCTATACCTGCGATGTCATTCCTATCTTTTGGATTTGGAACAGACAAGACGTATCATGGAACGGTAGACACAAGAAAGATATATGAACAACAGTTTTGAAGGAGCATAGCCATGTGTTGTTTCCTTTCTGGATCAAACATTACTCTACAGCGGATAGCTCACTTAGACCCGCCCTTCTGCCTCTCCATCACCCGCATAACATCCTCAAAATTGTTCTTATCGCCCTTCCTCTTCTTCCCACCCCTCTTCCTCTTCTCCTTCTTGTCCCCACCACCTCCCTCATAGCCATCACCATCCCCATCCCCATCCTCACCCCACTCAGACAGCTTCACCTTTTTCTCCTCAAAGTCAGCATCATCCTCCAGTCTGCTTGACCCAAATCCCATGTCCATATCCTCATCATCGCGCAACGACTCCTGCAGCTTCTTCTTGAGCCTCTCTTCCCGCTCTTTGGCCTTGATCTCCTCCTCTGATTTCTCCAGTGCGCCATTTGCCTTTGCCTTCTTGAGTGCCGCCTGCAGCAAGGGATCATCCAAAGACGGCGCCTTGTATGTTTGGCCCGTCGAAAGATCCACCTTTCCTCCTCTGAAATTCTTGAAATAATCTCTCTCCTCTGGAGGGCCGGAGCTAGGTTTCGGTGGTGGTGGCACAGCTGCCGAGTCTGATCTCGCCTTCTTATCCTCATCAGATGACGAGTCCGAGTCTTCGAGCGCAGTAATGGGTCGTAATCGGAGCCCGCGTCATCAAAGATGCTGATCTCCTTGCTCTCCTCCTCTTCCTTTGCCGCCCTCTCGGCTTCCTCCTGCTGTTTCCTGTAGAACTCTGGCACCTCCATACCAAGCACGCCGCGAGATGCCAGCGCGGCCGCTTCCCTGTCTTGTTCCTCCTCTAATAGTTTGTGGTCCACCTTCCGAATCTTTCGCACCTCATGGCCGTCCTCGTCAACAGTGATCTGAACCTCCCGACCCATGCTATCCTTTTCTATCCTCGTCCCCGGCGTCTTTTTCGCACCAATCTTCTTGAACTTGGACCCCAGACCCGACTCCTCCTTCGCCTTGGCCGCTTCCCTTGCCGCCTTCAACTCAGCCAGTAGCTGATTCCTCGACCTCTTCTGCCCTGGATTCAACGCAGCAGTCGCAAACTGCCCCTTCTTCCGCACCTTTTCCCTGGTCACAGCCTTGACTTCAGCATCAGCCAATTTCTCCAGGACACCGTCCACATCCTCCTCCACCTCCCCCTCTTCCCCACGCTCATCCTCGCCTGCCTTCTTCCCACTCCAGACATCCTCCCCCTGCTTCACCCTCCTCAACAAAGCAAAATCAAGCCCCTTGACAAGATGCGTACTCGCCAAGTCACCCCCCGCAATCTGACTGCGCATCCGGTCGTACGTCTCCCGGTCGATCTCCTCCTTTTTGAAAGCCTCCTCCAACGCCTTCAATCGTTCCGCTCTCTCATCCTCCTCTTCTTGCTCCCTCTGCCTGGCGCGGTCAACGTAGCCCTCTGCGAACCGGGACCCTTTCGGGGCCGAGGTCCGGAATCGTTTGGCTGTCTTTTCGAACTGCTTGTTTTTTTGCTCTGCTAGTTGCCTTGCGAAGTCGACTCGACCTGTTGATCGGGGGGTCATGGGGATGCTGGATTTGAGTCTGGAGCCGAGCGCGGCTGCTGCTGCTGGGCGGGATGGTGGTGGTGGTGGTGGTGGGGAGGAGGTGTCATTGTTGTTGTTGGTGGAGGAGGAGGACTTGGAGAGGAGAAGTTTTCGGAATTCTTGGTTGTTCATTTTGGGGAGTAAGGATGTGCAATGCGCTCTGGGTGGAAAAGAGCTGATGTTTTGTTTGGTGTTGAAGAAGCTTTGTCGCAAAGCGAGCGCAAGGAACCTTGCAAGGCTAAGCACGTATAGTTAAATATAAGTGGGGCGCAGGTTTAGGCGTCATGGTTACAGTGGGTTAGCTAGTTTTAATTGCAAAGGGTCCAGTCACGGGACCACGCGTTGTGAGGTGGGGCAGGCATCAAGGCCGGAAACGGGGCCTTTGGGGACAGGCCAAAGAGGTTCTTTGCCACTTGGAGTGAGAGCAAACTCGGCCGAGTGTTGGTTGCTTTTTGCGAGTAACGGCAGTTATTTGATACGATATCTTTTTCGTCGACTGACTTGACAGTATTTGGTCTTTTCATCGACATGAAACCGTCACCAACACCTCTCTCAGCTGCCGTTGGATGATGTCATTGTTATCGCTCAACCGCGTCTACAACAGCTTTGGTTATCCGACATGGGGAGTCGCTTGGAAAAGAACTCGGCTGCGGTGCAGAAGCGCATCGCGAGCCATGAGTTTGCCGATGAAGGCGGAGAGGAATACGAGGCCAGCGCCTTTGGGGGATTTGGCGACTATTTTCGGAGAAAGAAACTCAAGCTTCAGAACCTCGACGTCGAGTATCGCGCAGAAAAGGGCGATAAGCCGCAGATTTTCAAGGGAATCGTGGCGCATGTCACGGGCTACACTCAACCTCCTCTTCATGTGTGAGTTTTCTCTCCAACACCACAGATATATATATACATATATATGTTTAGTATCCGGATCTCATAACTGATGCGTAAGGTATATAGCCTTCACAAAGAGCTCGTTCAACATGGCGCTGGCTTTCTGCAATACCTCGATGGCAAAACCACGGCAACACATATCATCGCCTCGGCCATGCCGCCAAAGAAGTCCCTCGACTTCACCAACTACCGTGTCGTCAAGCCGTCCTGGGTGGTAGACTCCATCCAAGCCGGAAAGCTGTTACCATGGACCGACTACCGCGTCATCGAACAAGGCCCACGGCAAAAGACCATCAAGTTTGACGGAAACAAAATGACGAGCCAACAACCCCAATCGAAGTCTCCCACGGGCTATCGAGAACAAACCCGTGATAGCTTCTACAACAGCCAGTTCCAAAAGTCCTCCCAGCTAGCCTCACAACAGTCCAGCAGCCCCTTTCAACCAAGACCAGCCTTCAAAACCCACAACTCCAAGCACGAGAATATCGACGACATCGACGATGCCATGGACCTCGACACACCCTCAAAACCTCAAAACGAACCTCCCAGATCAGCCCAAAAACCACCCTCTCCCGACCCCATAGCACCACCACCACCACCACCACCACCCAAACCCATCCCAAACCAACCCCTAACCTCGGAAGAACACAACGCCCTCCTCCTCTCCGACCCGAAAATCCGCGAATCCTCTACCGCCAACCCCGACTTTTTATCAAAATACTACGCCACCTCCCGTCTCCACCACCTCTCAACCTGGAAATCCGACCTCAAATCCCGCCTCCAGAAACTAACCTCGCAATCATGCTCCCGTCCTTCCAGCAAGCGGAAACCCAACCAGAGAAGATACATCCTCCACGTAGACTTTGACTCTTTCTTCTGCGCCATCTCCCTCCAGAAATGCCCCGAATACGCCGACAAACCCACCGTCGTAGCCCACGGTTCCGGCACCGGCTCCGAGATTGCCAGTTGCAACTACCCCGCGAGGAAATTCGGAGTCAAAAACGGCATGTGGATGAAGCGCGCGCTGGAGCTCTGCCCAGGGTTGAAGGTCTTGCCGTACGACTTTGCGGGGTATGAAAAGGCGAGCGAGGTTTTTTATCAGGTTTTGTTGGGGGTGGGGGGTGTGGTGCAGAGTGTCAGCATTGATGAGGCGTTGGTTGATGTGACGGATGTGGTGCTGAGGGGGGTTGGGTCGACGGGGGTGGGGGTTGGTGAGGGGAGTGTTTGTCGGGAGCAGGAAAAGGCGGAGGAGATTGCGAGGGGGTTGAGGGGGGAGGTGAGGAGGAGGACGGGGTGTGAGGTTTCGGTGGGGATCGGGGGAAATGTGCTGCTGGCCAAGGTTGCGCTGAGGAGGGCGAAGCCGGCGGGGCAGCATCAGATTCGGCCGGAGGAGGTGTTGGATTCGATTGGGGAGTTGGGGGTGGAGGGGCTGCCTGGGGTGGCGGGGAGTATTGGGGGGAGGCTGGAGGAGATGGGGATCAGGTTTGTGAAGGATATAAGGGGGACGACGAGGGAGAGGTTGGTGAGCGTTCTGGGGCCGAAGACGGGGGAGAGGTTGTGGGATTATGCGAGGGGGGTTGATAGGAGCGAGTTGGGGGAGCAGCCGGTGAGGAAGTCGGTCTCGGCGGATGTGAACTGGGGGATCAGGTTTGTCAGTCAGGAGGAGGCGGAGGAGTTTGTGAGGAATCTGTGTGGGGAGTTGGAGAAGAGGCTTTTGGCCGAGGGGGTGAAGGGGAAGCTGTTGACCGTGAAGATCATGAGGCGGTCGTTGGATGCGCCTTTGGATCCGGCGAAGCATCTTGGTCACGGGAAGTGCGATACTTTCAACAAGAGCGCGAGCTTTGGGGTGGCGACGTGTGATGCCGAGGTGATCGGGAAGGAGGCGGTTGGGATCTTACGGTCTTACAAGTTCAGCCCTGGAGATCTGAGAGGCATAGGGGTCCAGATGACCAAGCTTGACCACATCAAACCGTCAGCAGCGCCAGAGGGCAGTCAGAAGAAGCTGAACTTTGGCAGTGCTGTTGCTGCTCAGCCTCCGCCACCGAGGAGAGAGAGGGAACAGATTGTCGACGACCACGTTCCGTACCAGCTCAAACGTTCATCCTCCTCAGGGCATGAAGTCGAACACGACCCCATCACCGAAGACCCATCAACACCCAAGAAACCCAGAGTCCACCCGGCACTCGCCCTCGCAGAAGCCAACGCTGCCGACGAAAAAGCCAATGCCCCGCTCAACGTCCGAGGAACACAATTCATCCTCCCCTCCCAAGTCGACCCTGCCGTCCTGGCCGCACTCCCCCAGGATGTCCGCAGCAAACTAATCGCCCGAGCCAAACGTCCCGCCTCCCCTGCCCCTGCTGCGAAATCCCGCTCCGGCAGCCCGGCCACGGCAGAGGAAGTCCCCCCCGACGTCGACCCCGAAGTCTTTCACTCCCTCCCAGAAGACGTGAGAGCAGAGATATGGGCTCAATACGGCGGCGGTCCATCCCGGCAAAGCCGGCCGCCCTCTCGACAAGCAGTCCGTCCGCAATCCCCCCGAAAAAACGGGACAATCCACCACCTCCCCAAAGAACGACATCCCCCCTCCCCCAAACGGGGGGGCGGTAAATCCCTTTCCAGTCGGGGCAAACAATCCGGTTCCGGGGGGGCCAGACTCTTTCAAACAAACTTTACCCGTGCCGTCCCCGGTGCGGTCGAGGATCTCGACCCTGAAGTGCTGGCGGCTTTGCCGGAGGATATGCGGAGGGAGGTGATTGACGATCACCGCAGGAGGAAGTTGAGTGTTGACGCTGCGCATCACCGCCACCGTCGACCTCCCGCACCGCCGCAACAGAAGACTTTGGAGTTTGGGAGGCCGCTGAAGCTGGCGTTCACGGGGGAGGAGGGGAAGGTGACGGGGTTGGAGGAGGTCAAAAAGATGGTGAGGGCGTGGTTTGAGATGAATAAGGAGGAGGGGCCGCATGAGATGGATGTGGAGGTTTTTGGAGGGTATGTCAAGAGGGTGGTGACGGTGGAGAGGGATATGGAGAAGGCGAGGGGGTTGGTTAGGTGGTTGGGGTGGTTGGTTGAGGAGGAGACGGAGACGGAGGAGGGGAGAAAAGGGTGGGAGGAGGCGGTGGAGGGGATCAGGGGGTTTGTTGGGGAGGGGGTGAAGGAGAGGGGGTTGGGGGGGTTGGATACTGGGTAAGGAATAAATAAGATGGATGGTTACCCGAACAGGACGTGTATTCTGAACAGTGTGGTTCGCTTGGTGTGTGTCATATATACATTACATTACTATGTTTTGAGAAGAGGTGGGGGCGGGTTTAGAAGACAGAAGCAAACACCATCATCCCCACTGCTCCGAACGTTACCAACAATGAGAGACCCCCGGCAAGACTGGCGGCTGCACTGGTGATATAAAGGGTCAACTTGAGGCTCCCGCCGCAGGACTGGGTGCTGTTGCCGTCGCAGGGGAGGTCGCATTCCTTGTCGGAGACCTTCGTGGAGAGGGTTGACAGGGTTTGGGAGCACCAGCATTCTCTGTTACGCACATGTCAGTCACGCCGCATGAGTGGAAGTGAGCGAGTGAGACAACACACCTGGAGTACTCCAACCCGGCGTATTTATACGACCCCTTGCCGCAGAACTCCCAGCACTTTTCGACCGTCATGATGTCGGGCTGCACGCTGTTGCTGCCGCCGTCGAGGGCGCGGCGGGAGGTGGTGTTGACGAAGAGATCGGTTGTTTCGGTGTAGCAGCCGTGGTAGGCGTAGCCTTGGCCGCCGGCCAGGATGGTGACTTGTTTCTGTGTGTTATCGTCATTCTGGGCGGCGACGAGGAGGCCGAGGAGGGATGAAAACAGGAGGGTGAAAAGCTTCATCATTATGGTCTCTCAATGGGTTGTGGAAAATGAGCGTGATGGAGGGAAGAACAGAACGCCGGTAAGAAAACGAAGGAAAAGAGACGCGTGAAAAAAAAAAGCGAGGGAGACCCAAAGCTTTTTGTTTAATCTTATTGAATGTAAGCCGGTGGCCCAATTTCCCCCAGACCAAGAAGAGCTGAAGCCTAGAAGCTGACAGGAACTGCGCGCCAGGAGGGCGATAGGGCTGACGATTTTGAGTGACAGCTAGGGGTGGAGGGGCGCTAGGCCTTATTTAGGTAGCGTTGGGCAGGGTTCGGGGTTTGTGAGCGTTTGCTGTTTTGGGTTTTGCTTAGGGCACTGTGATGGCATTTGGTGTTGGATGATATGAGAATATATTTGAAGGATAGAGGTGTAGAGGTAGTTTCCTGGTGTTTACGAAAGGCTTCCATGTCTTCTGTGTTGTGGGGGTTGTGGCAGTCGGTGGGGGGGGGGGGGGTTAAGAGACTTGCAGAGTACAAAAAGCGCTGTCTTTGTCCTGCTTACTCACACTTGGCCAAAGTTGAAATATCAAGAGTGTATCCAGCTTGATTTGAGTCCAACAAAATCGATATACCAGTTTTGCTTCTTATTTCTTGAACACACTGAGCTTTTTCTCTTGTTCCATCATCACAACAACCTGATTCAGACAACCACCTGCAGTTTCTGAAAGGTGGAGACGCCTCTCAACGACATCGCATAGCTACTTCTCCGCACCTCACAAAGTCTTCTTCTCACCCTCACCTCAGAAACACATCTCACTCACACGTCTCACCCGACGTCTCGTCCGCCATGGCCAAGGCAAAGGGAAAAAAGGGCAAGTCCGAGTCCAAACAGGCCAAGCTCGCCGAGAAGAAGCAAAAGCAAGAGAAAAAGGCGGACAAAAAGTCAAAGTCCAAGGCGTCCAAAAACAACGGCGACGTCGA